CACACAAAACCAGCCAGTACATCACCTTAAAAAGTTGAAAGTGTCCCCAGGAAAATTTCTCAGCCAAGCTAATAATAGAACTAAAATTTTTATGTTCAAATATCTAATCTTTTTCATTCCAGGTTGATTATATGGGCTCATAATTTATCACTATGCTAATATTATTAATTTATTACATAATTCAATGGTACATCTTATATTACAGTCCTCCTTTCTGTACTCATCACACACAAGCGCATCTTTTCTGATTACCAGGCCATGTCCTTAAATAAGTTTTATATATCATCTGGGATCAAAGGCATGGGATCCCAAGTGCTGGGATTAAATGTGTATGCCACCACGGTGGTTAACTAGCAGCTAGCTCAGTACTCTGATCTCCAGGCAAGCTTTATTTGTTTGAACACAAAATATCTCCACACTGGACTGTTTTAAACATTTCTTGATTCTAGCTTTGTGGTTTGTCCATATCAGTTTTGTTTGGACAATGAAATTCAAGGAAAAGACCAGTAATATTACCATATTTAGTTTAAATGCAAAGAAATTAAAAAACAATCACATGATACCAATTGCTTCATTCTCGTGGAATGTATCAAACGTTTTTTATTTGGCTTATGAAGTTCAGTGGAGCCAAACCTTCCAAGAGTCTCATGGAATGCATACACAAGTTAGTGGTATGTTTTTTCAGTAAATGTTAAATTTTTTCTAATCTGGGGAACGTTTCTAAGGATTATTATTAGCCCTAAATAACTCTTATTCACATTAATACAGTTCTTCCTATCGTTTTCCATTGTTACAATACTTCTGATAGGTTCAGGCCATATTTTGCAACACCTTGGCCAAAATTGGAAGCAGCACCTTATGTCAGAAATACTTAAATAAAGAAAATTAACTTTAAAACGATATGACTTAATTGTGAGGGCTTTGAAGCTGTTAGTTTAACTTCACTAATGAAATGCTTGCGATTTTACATTTTTGCGATAATGGTAAAATTTTATACAATGATAAAAGTGGGTGAGATATTTTCAGAGAAATATATGCCTTCAAGTGAAAAGTCAAGGAAACGTCAGTTTATGTGAATCACCTTGCCACCTGTGGTTTCAGTGGATTATTTCCTACTAGGTGTCGCGTTATGTTATTGGGTTCATAAATATTTCCCTTTTTCTCGTTTTGAGAATGAACAACAGAAAAACTATTTCTCCTTTCTCTCATGAGTTTAGTGTTTGGCACTAAGGGTTGAGCTGATCAGCTACACCCCAGTTATTTTGAACTTCTCTGATGATTTAGAAGAGGCTTACAGTCTTGCTCTGTAAAACAGGAGGGTTTACGCTTGCAATCTTCTCGCCTCAGCTGTCTCAGCACCATCAGCCTGGTTCTCAGTTTATTGCTCTACTACTTTACAACAACAATGCATGTCAGTTATACTACATTAACTCAAGAAATCAGCGGCAGAGATCTGATTAAACAGCCTCAGGTGAGTGTGGCCGATAAAGCTCTGTAAAGAATTTTTAACCCATTCCTTAAGAATTCCCAATTTTCTCACCAAATCTGCCACTGATGATGATGAAGACTTGTGAGGCTTATTGCTGCTGCGAAGAACAGTAAAAGTCTGACTGGATATCAGGGCAGCTACCTAGTTTGGCAGCAGCCCAAGTGTTGGAGACCAGCGTTGCCAAAAATACCACTTACCAGGGTAGGAGTATGGGGATTGAAAAAGTAAGTAATGATAATAAAGACAACAGTGAAAATAACAAAACACTAACTTAAAATACCTAGATCACAAAAGGTAGGAGGAAGATTTAAAAAAAAAACCTGCATTAACAGGATACAAAGAAATGAACATACTAGTTGAAGGTTGCAGGCTACATTTCATAGTTAAACATTCTGTTGATAGAACAAGCCAAGTCACACTCACACCCTGAACAAAAGCATTCAGCAGGCCAACCACTTTCTGGGTGGAATCATTGTTATCTCCTTAAGGAACTAGGAACTTTGTGGTAGAAACAGATAACCTTGAAGGAACAGAAGTAAGTTCCAACTCCCTGATCTTCGGACAACAAGGTGGAAAGTTTTGGATCTCCACCCAAAAAGAAGGTTCAGGAAGAGCCCACTAGGAGAGAAGGAAGGAAAACCTAGCCGGTAGGATGGTGACTCCAGTCATGTAGTCCAGTCTATGGTGGTGGCTGTTAAGTCACAGGCAAAAGGCTTTTTCATGAATTCATACCACAAACATTGGGCACCAGATGTGGCATGAATAATAAAAACCCAGAGCAGGTTCAACCTGAAGATCAGAAAAGCAAAGCAGTCAATTGCTAGAGAGCTCTTACCTCCACAAAATCTTCAGACTGAAAAGAGAGTGAGTGCCTATCTCCTCCTGCCTTATATTCCTCTCTAGTGCTGGGATTAAAGCCATGCCCCACCACCTTTGAGCCTCGGTGTATAACCAGTGTGGCTGCTGGGATTAAAGGTGTGTACTCCACTGCCCAGCTGACTAGTGTTGATAGCATTGCACTCTCATCTTCAGGCAAGCTTTATTTATTAAAACACAAATAAAATACCATTATAAGCTCTCTTTCTGGTTTGGGAAAAAAAATCAATAGGAATTCTTCTCCAGTCCTCCCACACTAAGTTGGGTATCCTGCCTGGTTCTGTCTGGAATGAGATGCATGGTTTAGGTTTTGCTTGAAAGGATGACTGGCCAACTGTGTAAATGACTAAATGGATGAGGGGAAGTTTGGCCTAGGACGTTATCTGCTTTCTTGATTTTGGTGCTGCTGTTGTTTTGTCTGTTCTCCCCAAAATGAGGCTAGCGTGTGCTCACTCTGGTTAACTTGATTAAAATTCTGCCCGTTTCTCAGAGTTCTGCCAGTAAGTAACTCCTGCATGCTGCTGTTAGTGGTTTGTCTTTTATTTATTTTTTAATTTATGTTTTTTTTTTTTTTTTTTTTAAAGAGTCTCCTTTACTCTCTAGGCTGGGAAATTTCTAGTCATACCAACCCACTTGTAGAGTCCCCCCTCCCCCCAGTCATTCACTTGGTGCCTCTCCTTCCTGGGGCTCCACAGTGGGCAGTGGTTCCTTGTAAATGGACAGTCCCCCAGATTGAGGTCACTTTATATGGCAAGGTCTTTGGGACCTTGGCCAGGGCATTGCAGCCTCCCAAGTGCCTGACAGCAGGCTGTACTGTTTGGTCTCCCTAGACTTGTTGTGCTGATCCCCTACCATAAAATTATCTTGGTTGCTACTTTGTAACTGTAATTTTGCTACTATTATGAATTGTAATGTAAACATTTGTTTTCAGATGGTCTCAGGCAACCCCCATGAAAGGGTTGCAACCCACAGGTAGAGAATTGCTGACTTAGGGAATGGTGTCATCCTTTTGTGATCTATGCTACTTTCTCTTGTAGACCAGACTGGCCTCAAACTCAGAGAACCGCTTGCCTCTGCCTCCTGAGTGCTGGGATTAAAGGCGTGCGCCACCACTGCCAGGCAAAGGAAGGCGTGTCTCCCTGTCGGGGAATGACAGGCAGGGATACTCACCACTATACTAACAAGGAAGACAACTCCTTTCTCTAATTAAAAATTTTTTTAACTGGAAGACCCAAACCCACCTGCCCTCCTGGGATCTGTCCTCTACACCTGGGATGATTGCTAGCTATTCCTTCTGACTCTTTTTACTTCAGATAAAAGGAAGCATATTGGGGCAGTAGCAAGGAAGGTCTTTTTGGCCTTGCTTTTGGGACAGCTTTATCCAAGTACCCTGATTGGGACCCCAATGTGTACACAGTCTCTCAGGCCTTAAACATTTTCCACCTGGAATTTGGGGTGCAGCTTAAAAACCACACTAATTTGTATAAGACCACTGAGGTTCTTATACAAGAACTCAGCGTCCAAGAGTCCTGGGTCATTTTTTGAGCAATCACAATAGATAGCTAGATAAGATAGGTAAATTCAGGACTAAAACCGCTCTTGATCCACTGACTCTGGAAAATGCAAGGGTATTAAATTTGGATATTGTCAAAAAATTTCAAAAGTTCAAAAGCTAGAGGGTTTTGCAGGAATGATAATCCTCAACTCATTGAGGAGGCCCAAAGATTACAGTAACCGAGACACGAAAGGTAAAGGCAATGTCTCATGACTTTTTTTGTTGTAAGCCTGTTTCTCCTCAGAATAAGGCTGAAATAGTACTCAAGTCAACAGTCCTTAATCAGGGGGAAATGGGTCTACAACAAATAAGTCATCGGACAGATGCGACATTAGACGCTGTGAATTCTCCCCTGTATGCCCCACGTCCAGAAGACATTTCTGGCAAAAGTAGTCCTCCCAAACCAGCAAAGATTAGGTTTAGTTTACATTCTCCAGGGAGGATTTTGTCTGAAACTAGGCTTGTTGCTTCTATGAAAACAAATCAGGAGTTATCAAAGAGGCTTTACAAACTATTACAGATAATTTAGATAAGTGACAAAGGGAACAGAAGTCAAATAATTTCCGGTACCATAAAATGTTTGAAACCCATGGCTCATTACCCTTTCACTGCCCTGGCTGGCCCCCTACTGCTCCTTTTTATAGGCCTTCTGGAGCTAAACAAAAGAAGAAACACAAATTACATTCCTGCCACGCCATTGGGCAACAACGTGAAGGCTCAGGAGACCAAGACAAGCGATCTCAGTAGGTCCCAATTTGGATCCGCACGCGCAGACGCCACTGCTTCGCACCGCCTCCGGTCCAGCAGAGCAATCTGCCAGCGTCCGCTCGGGGAGCTGCTTTTCGAGCGTCCCTGGTCCTTCAGACCAAGCCCGCTACATCTTCCACCACTTCACTCCCTTCCACCCTTTGACTCTATACAAACGGCCATCCCGCTGCAGCGTCAGGAACGGAATCAGCTTCCCCCGCGCAGGCCCACACGCTAGGCCTCCCGGCAGAGCCCAGCGCCGGCCGCTGCGTGCGCAGCTGCCCCGGGTGCCCCGCCCCTTCCGCCACTCGTGCGCAAGCCCGGCCGCCTCGGCGCGCCCGGGTTGGCTACCCCGGCGGCCTCCTCGGCAGTCATGGCTTCTCTGATGTGATAGTTTCCCCCGCCCCCTCGCGTAGGACGCGGCGGCGGGGCGACGGTGGAGAGCCCAACTTTATTGTTCCCCCGGCCCACCTCCCGGCGCGTCCTCAGGATGCTCGGGGGCTGAGCGCCGGGGGCGGCGGAGGGTCGCGGTCCGACCGGGCCCTCGCCTCAGAGCGCAGGACCAAGGGAGGGAGGGAGGGAGGGAAGCACCATGTCAGGTAGCCGCCAGGCCGGCTCGGGTTCCGCTGGGACGAGCCCCGGTTCCTCGGCGGCCTCTTCGGTGACTTCCGCCTCCTCGTCCTTATCCTCGTCTCCGTCGCCGCCTTCCGCGGCGGCCTCGGCGGCGACGCTGGTGTCCGGCGGGGCGGCTCCGACCGCGGGCTCGGGTGGCCTCGGCGGCCCGGGGCGGCCTGTGCTGGTGGCGGCCGCGGTGTCCGGCAGCGGCGGCGCCAGCGGTGGCGGGGCGGTGTCCGCGGGCCTGTCCCGGCTCAGCTGCGCGGCCAGGCCCAGCGCCGGTGTTGGAGGGAGCAGCACCAGCCTGGGCAGCAGCAGCAGCAGCAGCAGCAGCAGTAGTAGCAGGAAGCGACCTCTGCTCGCCCCGCTCTGCAACGGGATCCACAACTCCTACGAAGACAAAAGCAACGACTTCGTTTGGTGGGTTCGCAGAACTGCCCCTGCACCTTCGACCATGAGTTTCTACTGCTGAAGCTGACCGGGTCCGGTGTGGGGAGGCCTGATAAAGAGCGCAGCTTGGGGGTGTCGAGGAGTTGAGTATTTGCAGAGTTACAGGTTCCTGGTTGGGGGGTGAAGGTGGACGGGGATCCCGAGGCAAAGAGGTAAAATGTGATTACGCTGAGTTGGGTTGCCGGTATGCAGGAACGGAAGGCATTTAAGGGACTGCCTAAGGATGGAAGTGGAGATCCAGGAAGTGGTTATGTAGAAAAGGAAATATTTGAGCCAGGAGTTTGAATCGTGAATGCTTTTTGACCATTTAGTGAATTAGACACCAGTCTGGAGTAGTTCGTGTGAATTAGATTTTCAGAGGAAGACTTACTGCCCGAGATTCTGAGTTAAAGAATTGCCGGTCACCTGTGTATTGTAAATACAGTAGGTGATGCTCGAAACACAGTTGTGGAGGTTTTACAGAGTGATCTTTTTAAGTACCCACCAGGCGTGGGAATGTGTAGATGTCTTCTATTTGAGTGGATAAAACACTTGTAATTCTATTGTTGATACTAATGTCGTCAGAATTTGTTCACGACCATTTAAGTTCACGTTCCAACTATTGGAATGAGAGAAACCCATTTCTTAGTGTTCCTGTGATGAACGGAAATATTAAAGAACTGTGGTGGTGCATGCCTATAGTCCCAGCACCCGAGAGGCAGAGGCAGGTAGATCTCTGTGAGTTCGAGGCCAGCCTGGTCTACAAAAGGTAGTTCCAGGACAGGCTCCAAAGCTACAGAGAAACCCTGCTTTGAACCCCCCCCCCCCCCCCCCCCCCCCCCCCCCCCCACCCCCCCCCCACCCCCACCCCCCCCCCCCCACCCCCCCCCCCCCCCCCACCCCCCCCTTCCCCCCCCCCCCCCCCCCCCGAAAAACTCCCAAAACAAAACAAAAAAGAGAACTGTATAAAATAGTGGAACTTCTGTATCATTGCATCACAGCTGACATCTTGAATGACAGTAGAATTCAGTCATTTGGCATCTAAGGGGGGTTTAAGCAAAAAGATGAATCTGGTTGTTTTGAAATTATTTTTGAGTTTTAATTGGATTTTAAATGCTAGTTGTAAGATTAAGAGAACTTAGTTAACCTTTCCTGCTCAAAAACTGATAGGCCTCTCCTGCGAAGGGACTTTGTTGACTGACTTGATGTAGGAAGTTGGTTTGAACAGTCATTCTTGGGGAAGTTGGTTCACTTTAGAGTTGAAGATGCTCTTATATGGTGTTATTAAATACGATAGGGTTAGAGATTGTAGCTATTGAGAAAGATAATTGGCTATAGTCTCTTGCTTCTTCAGGAATATAATCTGTATATCTGCTTTTCTTTAGATTTAGAAGTAACACTTGTCGAAACACATGACTATTTGTACACATTTAAATAGTTTATGGTTGCATTTCTCGTTGTTTGTTTTGTTTTTTTTTTTGAGACAGGGTTCTCTATGTAGCCCTGACCATTTTGGAACTCACTCTGTAGACCAGGCTGGCCTTGACCTCAAGAGATCTGCCTGTCTCTGCCTCCCGAGTGCTGGGATTAAAAGTGTGTCCATCCACCACTTGCCCAGCTGAGGTGTTTGCCTCTTGTCCAGTCAGTAGCGTCACATGATAAGGTAGAAGCTAGTAAAACAGGCAGCTTGCAAAAGTTTTTAGCCATTATTTGCATTTCAGTATTCAAAAAATAGAGAAAACAAACATGCCATCATCTTTAGGTCATTTAATATTGTAAAATGTGTGAGAAATCAGAGTATTAATCAGTTATTTCGCAGATAACTTAGACATTGACTGTTAAACCATCTGTCTGAGAGTAGTACAGGCTGTGGTATAGGGAGCAGGAGGTGGATGAGGAGCAGCTGGCCCTAGGTTTGTTGTTAGGCGTGTCCTAGTTTCATTCTGTGCTGTGTCAAACACCTTGACTACAAGCACCTTAGTGAAGAAAAGGTTTATTGGGCTCACAATTTCAGTTACAGTTCATTATTGTGGAGAGAACAATGCAGTCTAGTAGAAAGGAATGTTCCACGCTGCCTGTTCTCTTGCCTCTGACCTAGCTGACTTTCTCCACTCCTGTACAGTTCAGCACTTCAAACCAGATGCTGCTGCCCCAAATGAGCTGGGTTGACTTATAACAGCTAAGAATGGAGAAAATTCCTCACAGGCATGCCAGTGGTCAGCCTGATCTAGACATTCCTTGGTTGACACTTTCCGGGGGTTCTAGGTGATGTTGACAGTTAAAACTAACCAGCTCAGGAGTAGAACTAAATTATTACTTCATCACCTGTTTGTTTAAAAGATTATTGTGCCTAGGGGCTTGAGAGGAGACTTTGTGGCTAAGATGACTTGTTGCTCTCCCAGATGACTTGTTCCCAACACCCATATGGCTGCTCACAACTGTCTGTAACTCCATTTTCAGGAGGTTGAGTCCTTCTTCTGGGTCTCGTAGGCACCAGGCACACAAGTGGTGCACATACATACTTGTAGGCAAAAACACCCATACACACTCATAAAATAATTAATTAGAAAGAATTAAGCCTACCCTCTTATCCTATGTTGTATAGGTATTATATTTTATATTCTAATGAGAAAATGTTCAGTGAATATTTTTAGTTAAAATTCCAAATATTTCACTAAGAACCTTAATTTATTACTTTTCTTTGTGTTGAGATTGGTTATTCAGAAGACTTAATCAGTGAGTATATGTTGCAGTTCTTAAACTAGGTTTAATTTTGATCAGACTCTTGGAGTAGGATATGTATTAGGTAGTCCTAAAAACCCTTTATTCCTAATTGGTCTCTAGGTATTTTTGTCTTTTTCTATATCTCAGTGTCAGATTGTGAGACAATTCAAATTACTGTAATCTTTTATATTGAAATGAGGTTTAAGTTCAAATAATGTTAATTCTTTACTCATTGATAACACCTTTTAAAAGATACATTTGTATTTCACATCTCATTTTATTCTTAGAGTAGTTGTAAAGAGTTATGTAGACTCTTCTTATTTCATTACAGCACTAGTATGATGATCTCCACCTGCCGTTTAAGGTGGGCTGGCTAGAGACAACATGAGAAATCTGATCTGGAGTCTCAGTTTAGCACTTCCACTTACATGTTTAGAAAGCTTGAGCTCTGAGTTCTAGCATACTATCCAGTGGTAAGACGCTGTTTTCATTTTAATGTTTTTCTCCTTAGCCAGCTACTTCTCCCCTTGCTGTCCCTATTTCTAAGACATATTATAATGGGAAGCTAGGGTGGGCAGCAGTAGATAAGGACATGCCCCCACCCCCATCCAAACCCTACTTGAGAACAGTTATTTAAAATAAAGTCACATACCTAATTTCAGGAACACTCTTAGCTTTATCATATTTGAAAATAAGTTTGCATTTAATTGTAGGATTGATTGACATTTTAGATACTTATAGCTTGTAGTCTTATGTATCTTATAAATGATTGACAGTATTAAGTTGTGGGTATTTTCACAGGAAAATGTCAAAGAAAATTAAGGTGACATGAGAAGTCCCATTATATTAACTCTGGAATTTAGTATGCCTTTCTTGCTAAATGAAAGCCAAGAAACTTCAACAGCAACTTATGTCAGAATTGCCTAGAAAGATAGTGTCTTTTCCTAAAGACATCTCATGCAAGGGTGGTAAACACAGCAAATGAACTGTGTTACATGGTGACTTGGGTTTTGCCATATCAACTTTCAATCTCTAAATCTAAATGATGATCTCATAAAACCAAAAGGGAGTTTTTTAAGAATAATAAAAATACAAACTAGTTCATATTTTTTTTCTTAATTTTTAAATTTAAATTCTAAGTCTTACTTAACCTTTAAAACTCATAAATTACATCCTCTGAAGATGTAAAATAGAAACTTACAGGATCCCATACACAGCTGTTACAATGACATACCTAAGCAGAATTCTCTGCAAAAGACTGCACCCGTGTTTTGGGAATGTATGTTGTCCTTTTCATATATGGCTGTCTAAGCAATTATTTAACTGTCTTTTACTTGTTTTACCTTTTGACATTTTAAAGCATTGATTTGTATGTTGCAGTTGATGGTATCATAACAGTTGTGGTTAGATGTAACTATCATTTCGTGCAGATGTGTGTACATAAAATACCTGCACTGCCTTTAATTCCAGCCAGGGCAGAGGCAGGCAGATCCCTGTGAGTTCAAGGCTAGCCTAGTCTACAGAGTGAGTTCCAGGACAGCCAGGGCTGTTACACAAAGAAATCCAGTCTTGAAAAGCCAAAAACAACAACAACAACAAAAAAAAACCTGCCTCAAGGCATGAATGTAGGTTTTGGCAAAATAAAAGAAAATCTTCTTAATAATTTTGAATTAATTGTTTCATACTTTTTGAGCTAATTGTAGGAATGAAGAACAGGTGATTCTGAGATGTAGAAAATTAGAATTCCACAATTGAAATCAGTTGTAGAATACATGGTAAAGTTTAAAGGTGGCATAAGATCCTAGTGACAATCGTGTTTGGTTCTATTATGGACTCTTTTAAATAAATCTTTTAGTGATGAGGCATCACTAAAGTACTGGCTATTGTGTGGGAAAATTGGCTGTTGGTGACAGGCTACTTGAGAATCCTGTGAAGTGGCATGATGGATAAAACAGTTGCTGCATAAACCAGTCTGAAGGCTGTTCTGGAACCTTAGCAGAAGGAGAGCCAGCTGCTGAGTCCTCTAACCTCACACACAGATAAAATCAAGTTTAGCTGGGTGTACATCTTTTAATCCCAGCACTTGGGAGGAGACAAGTATATCTATGTGAGTTCCAATGCTAGCCTGATCTACATTCTGAGTTCCAAGCTAGCCAGGGCTACGCAAAGACCTTGCCTCTAAAAAAACAAAAAAATAAAAACTAATTCATACTGGGGAGTATAGTTCAGTAGGTAAAGTGCTTGCTGAATATCCTCATCAAAAGGTGGAGTTGGAGCCGGGCAGTGGTGGCGCACGCCTTTAATCCCAGCACTCGGAGGCAAAGGCAGGCGGATCTTTGTGAGTTCGAGACCAGCCTGGTCTACAAGAGCTTGTTCCAGGACAGGCTCCAAAACCACAGAGAAACCCTGTCTCGAAAAACAAAAAACAAAAGACAAACAAACAAACAAAAAAGGTGGAGTTGGCAGTGTACACACCTGTAACCTCAGTGCTAGGGGTTGGAGACAGATGAATTTGGAGTTCACTAGCCAGTGTTGCAGAAGAAGTTTACCCAAAGTTCAGTGAGAGACTTACTCTCCCCTTTAGCCCCCATGTAAAAGGTTGAATTATTGAAGAAAACATCCCGACATTGACCTCTCACCTCTAACCTCTACACTCATCCAGATGGGCTAGCATTCGGACATACGAACATATACACATGCATATACTACACACCATCCAAAAAAAAATTAAATCATTAAAGTTAAATACTAAAACATACACATTTGTAGGAGCCCCGATTTGATTTTTATGTGTAGTTTACATACATGATATAAGACAAAGTACATATAAATCTAAAGAGAGAAGTATAATAAAATTCTGTTTTGGCTAGGGACATATCTTAGATCAGGAATGCCTAGTGTGTATGAGGCTATGTGCAAAATCAGTATGGGTGGACGCATGTACACAATAAAAGAAGATAACAATTGAAAATATATTTCCATAGGGCCCTTTCGAGAGGTTGTGTGTGTGTGTGTGAACAGGAGCATGCCAGAGGACTTTCATCTTTAGGATTTTTGTTCACCTTATTTGAAACAGTGTCATTGGTTGGGAGCTCACCAATTAGACTATACTAGACACCCAGGGATCCCCAGGAATTCTGTCTTTGCCTCCCTGGTTCACAAATCATACACATTTACATGGTTTTGAAGACTGGAACTCAGGTCCTCTTGTAAGGCAAATGTTTTGCCAACTGAGCCACCCCAACTCCTTTTATTTTTTTTAGTTGACACAGTTATTTTGTGTACTTAGAGTGCAGCTTTTCAGTACATGTGTATAATATGTAATGGTTGGATTTATACAGTTTGGTATGTCTGTCACCTTAGGGATTTACCATTTCTTTGTGTAGGAACATTGAAAATATCCTGTCCTAGCCAATTAAAATGTTTAGTTTCTTTGTGTTAACCATAGTTATCATATTATGATTTAGATCATTCAAGATACTTGTCCTACCTAACTATAACCTTATACCATTCATCATACTCTTTATGGCCAATCTTAAGTGCAAAGAATGCAGGGATTTTGAGTGTTTTGCTCTTCTGTAGAAGAATATGGAAGAGGAGAATTAGAATTGAAATTTAACTCACAGCATCAGGATATATGGGCTGTGTTAATGTTTGAATAATCTATGTGTATTCACTGCGCTTAGTTTAGAATGTATTGCTCCCTGGGTCAGCTTGAGTATGTTACTTTTACTAATAGTCCTGTAAATGTCTGTTGAGAAAATTAGAATACTTAACTCTTAGCCATATATTAAATTTGATTTGGTTGATTTTAGGTCACTAGTCCTTTATAATGTGTAGTACTCTGCCTTAATAAACATTTATTAGTGATTGGTTTTTTTCTTTCCTTTGTAGCCCCATCTGCTTTGATATGATTGAAGAAGCGTACATGACAAAATGTGGCCATAGCTTTTGGTAAGATGGTTTTCATTCAATATAAGTGCAACTAACGAGAAGTTATGCCCTTTAAACTCATTTTAGATTGTTTCTTCAACTGATAGGTTTGACAGTTCAAGATGTAAAATGTGTTTAATACATAACTTCTGTGAAATAGAGGCTGTAAAATCTTATGGTTATTTCCTATTAGTAGAAACGGTGATGTTTTAGAAAATTAAGGTGGGTAATCAGTCATTAAGCACGAGATACCAGTTACTCACTTGGAAGTAAGGTGAGAGGACCCTTAAAACAGGTGGCACAAATCTAGGAAAAGGATGGAGTGGATTAGAACATCCTATGCTGTCTTTGTTAATACTTCACAGGTTGCTTTAGACTATATTGTGTTATTTTGATCTATTTATTTTGCAGTCTTACCCATCTTGATAATTATGTTGTGCTATGGTTGTTCGTTATTGTATAATCTCCAGGACTTGTTCTTTTTTCTTTTCTTTTTCTTTTTCTTTTTTTCCCATATGATTATTTTTTTATTGGTATATTTCTTTTTTTAATTATTTATTTATTTATTAAAGATTTCTGTCTCCTCGCCACTGTCTCCCATTTCCCTCCCCCTCCCCAATCAAGCCCCCCTCCCCCCCATCAAGTCCCCCTCCCCCGATCAAGTCCCCCTCCTCATCAGCCCAAAGAGCAATCAGGGTTCCCTGACCTGTGGGAAGTCCGAGGACCACCCACCTCAATCCAGGTCTAGTAAGGTGAGCATCCAAACTGCCTAGGCTCCCACAAAACCAATAGGTGCAGTAGGATCAAAAACCCATTGCCATTGTTCTTGAGTTCTCATTAGTCCTCATTGTCCGCTATGTTCAGAGAGTCCGGTTTTATCCCATGCTGTTCCCATCACAGTCCAGCTGGCCTTGGTGAATTCCCGATAGAACATCCCCATTGTCTCAGTGTGTGGGTGCACCCCTCGCGGTCCTGCATTCCTTGCTCGTGCTCTCTCTCCTTCTGCTCCTGATTTGGACCTTGAGATTTCAGTCCGGTGCTCCTATGTGGGTCTCTGTCTCTGTCTCCTTTCATTGCCTGATTGGTTTCTAGCCATAAATAAAGGACATTGAGCCTATAATTCGCGATCCTAGAGAAGCTAAATAAGAAGGTGAACCCAAAGAAAAACATATAGGCATCCTCCTGAATATTAACCTTCATCAGACTTGTTCTTTTTTCAAAACTGAAACTCGATACTTTTTAAAACAATGATTCACTTTTCATCTCTGCAGTTTACAAAATCCAGTATTCTTTGTGTTTGTGTTTGCCACTTCTAGATATCACATGTATGTGTACTTAGATCATGTCTTAGTTAGGGTTTTAATTGCTGTGAAGAGACACCATGATCATGGCAACTCTTACAAAAGGGGAAATATTTAATTGGTGGCTTGATTACAGTCTTAGAGGTTCATTACATACATTATCATTGTGGCAAGGGCATGGTGGCATGTAGGTAGACGAGAGCTCTACTTCTTGCAAGCAACAGGAAGTCTACCTAGATAATGGGCCATATTTTGAGCAATAGGAAACCTTAAAGCCTGTCCCCACAGTGCCACATTCCCTTCAACAAGGCCATACGCACTCCAACAAAGCCACACCTCTTGTTAGATCAACCCCTTTGGGGGCCATTTTCTTTCAAACTACCACAGATCATATGTGTCTTTCTATGAGTGACTTACTTCACATAATGTCCTTTGAATTCTTCTGTGTTCTTTTGTGACACAATTACCTTTTTAAGTTTGAATAGTATTTTGTTACATGTTCAGGTGACATTTTGTTTATCCATTCAGCCATCTATGATGATTGGGTTGAGTCTACCTCCTGACTCTTATGAATAATGTTACCATGAATGTGTATTAGTTACTTCTCTGTTGCTGTGATAAAACAGCATGATCAGAAACAGCTTATCGATGGAAAAGTCAAGAGTTTCCCAATCCAGAGGGAAAGGAGTGCATTGTGGTGGGGAGGCATGGCAGCAAGCAGCAGGCATGGTGGCAGGATTGTTAAGCTGAGAGCTCACATCTTCAAATACGACTCAAAGTAGAGAGAGAAACAGCAAGTAGGAAAGACTATAAACACTAAAAACCCACCAGTAATATACTTCTTTGGCAAAGATGGACCTCTCGGCTTCCTCAAACATTGCCAAATATATGAGCCATTAAGGAGAACTCTCATTTACACCGTTACAGTATGCATATAGAAATACTTCTGCAGAACTCTGCTTCCAATTCTTTTTGATATCCACCTTTTTTTTTTTTTTGGTTGTTTTACTTTTGCTGACTTACTACAAAGGATATCTAAAAAGGTAGAGAAATAAGAAGTAAGAACCTGGTCTAGGTTTTCACAGGGTAAGTTAGTGAGGTAGGCGGGAAGGACATGTGTAGTTGCCTGCTCTCTCCAGGCATGCCACTCATCCAGTACCTCACATGCTCAGCAACGTGCACACCTCTGCACCGGGCATCGTTTTGTTTCTTACAGAGGCTTTTCATTAAGTTGTAGAAACTGATTAAATCAATGGTCATTAAATCAATTGACCCTTCAGTTCCTCTCATCTCCCTGTTGATGAAGGTGAGCTTGAAGTTACAAACATCTACAAAGTAGTTAGTCTCCTGAGCAACCTACAAGTTCCCAAACAGCAGACACCTGGCTTTATTTGTTTATTTTTTCCGTTAGAACTAGCATATTCTATTTGGGATCAACCATATTCATGAATTATTTATGGGTCCTGTTAGCATGTAAGATTAACATTAATATTTCTTTAGCCCATATTGGAAGTTGTGCCTATAATTTTATGTTGAGAATGGGTGGGCATGACATTTGGCAGGTAGATATCCTTGAGTTAATAGTGGGTGAGGCCATTGATCTGGAGTATGATGTTTCAAGGTTAGATTAGATAAGAAATTCAGATTAAGCTAACTTACTTAATTTGTAGTATTTATGTTCTCCATTAAAATAAAATTATGCCACTATACTTGATTTAGAAAAGCAACTTTTGTCATATACAATGCTGTGCTATAGAAAGTAAATGTCTCTTAGTTGCTTTTTCTCCATTGTCAGAAGTTTTCACTGTTAAGGAATGAGTACATCTTTTTTTCAGAACTTCTTTTGCTGTGTTATTTTTCAGTTTTCTTTGAAATTTTATTCTTTCACAATTCATACACAAATAATGTACTGTAATCATAATACCCTACTCATTATATACTCTTATCCCCTTCCTTCCCACCAAATACTTTTACCAAGAAGTCCCTCTCCTACTTGTTTGTCGTTTTTCATTTTTTATTGATTAATTTGATTATTTGAAAATTTCATACATATATATTATGATTACATTCTTCTTTTACCTCCCTCCTGTTGCTACCAAGCCTCCTCACCCCTACTAGTCCTTTTCTTTAGCTCATGTCTTTGTTATTTTTGTGGCCCAACTGCATTTATTAAAGGGTGCCTGTGTGAACATGGACAGGCAGTTACTTGCATAAGCAAGGGCAGCTTACCAGGGCTACCACACTGTTGAATATGATCTGTGCCTCCCACCCTGGCGACCATTGTCTATAGTTCCTGGAAAAAACTTAGGGACTTATGTGGCCCTCCCCCATTTGTGATGGTTTACTGATGAACCCAGTCTTTTAGAAGTCTTGGGTAAGTAGCCACTGCTTTGGTAAGATCTGGGTTACAAAAGTTGTGTCATGTCCGAGAGACAGCATTTCACAGTAGTCTTTCCCATCTCTGCTTTCTCTTCTTCCATGTTCCTTAAGATTGGGGTGGGGAGGATTAAACATGGGTCCCCCCCTTTTTGGGCTGACCTTTCAAAAGTTACTTATTTTTAGTCTTTGGTTAACTGTAGCCCATTACAAAGAGAAGCACAACTACGTGGGCATAAACAATTATTTAGGAAACATTTTGACATCATATCCATATAGCAGAACAGCAGTGGTAGATTCTCTCCTAGGTCCAATAACCTCCTTGAACAGATTTATACTGCCTGACATGAATTTATACTGTGCAGCAAGCCTAAACCTCATCAGAAAATAATTGGTTACTCCCATAACAGATATGCCACTATTGGCACATGTGGGCACATCTTGCGTGGGAGGTTGTTATTGTAGCTTGCTGGGTTCACAGATGGGTAAGACTCTTGGTGACCCTTCTACTCCAGAAATTTGCATAATGCCTTCACTACTATAAATGTTAGTGAGAAGGAAGAAAACTTTTAGCACAATTCTTGCTTGATTTAAGTCCTTTGACTTAAGTGTGGGGTATATTTCAGCAGTAGGGTCTTGTTTGTCATCTAGTCTGGTAGACAGTAAAAAGTAGTAACATCAGCCTGCATTGTCTTTAGGACCTTTTGGACCTTCCTGACTAATTACTTATATAGAGGTGGCAATCATATTTTTTTTAATAACCTAATGGCTTCTGAGAGCAGTGTTATGTTGTTTTATCTTTGGCACAGTTGCTGCTGTTTCAGCCAGTAATTGCAACTCTGCAGTTTCTGGCCTGCTTATGTGGCAGTGCTGCCAGGTCTGGTGGGAATTCTGTTCCTGCAGGCACTGGCTGTATTGTTGCCGCTAAGGGTAGCTTTAACTAAATGTTTATCATTGTATTTATAGATAGATTCAATATTCAAAGGCTGGGGTGAAAACCTGCTAGCTCAGAGGGGTTGAGTAACAACTAGCTAACCTTTTCTCTTTGCTGGTGTCTCCCAAAAAGCATGTTCTACTCCACCAAAACAAAGTCGTGCCACTAAAAGTCCTTCCCTGCAACTTTGGTGCATCTCTCTCTCTCTTCATTGTTACATCTGTTTCTTCATGCATTATTGATTTCTAACTCAGGGTGTCAGACTAGACTTTAAAAGCACAGAGGAAAGCAAAATAAATGTTTGCCTTTAATGAGTTAGAGGTCACCTACAGTTAGTTAAGTTTTATATGGTGGTATGTAAGTTGCTGCACCTTAATTCTCTTAGTATAGATTGATATTTTCCAGTCCAGTATGAAAAGTCAGTTCCATATTAGCAAGGACAATTCTTTTTGATTCTATCACAGGCCTTTCTTTCTTTCTTGAAGGGAAAGTATGGAAATCAGCCATACAGTTGTTAATGCAAATCTATCAGCCTGAGTTGGCTCTTCAGAAGCCATGAAAAGGTGGATGGAATGAACCTTCTTCACAAAGCTGTCCTCTGATCTTTTGAATGTGCTTCTCAGCATCACATACAGAGTACTAGTAATGTTAGCATTTTTGAAAAAGTAGTATGTCACAAAAATTTAAGAAAGAAAATTTTGTATGGTACATATGAAATACATATTATATATATAACACATTCTTAAATAATATATGGTATAGTACATAGGTAAAATGTAATTTTTATTGCTAGTATACATTGTATTGGATTGATAATTACAGATTTAGTCAGCTTATGTAGTTTAGGTTGCTTCTATTATAGTTTGCTATTACGATGCCCATGATGCTGTTAGATAACTCTTGTTGCTTCCTGATAATAAATTCCTATAAATAAAATTTACCATATTAAAAGGAATATGAAACCTTGAGGTTTTTTTCTGCATATCCTTTTTAGGAAAGTTGTATTGGTTTCATTTCATTCAGCTATTTACGATTATGTATTCTGAAATATAACTATATTTTCTTTTATTTTTCCATTCCTGTTAGTAAAAATTAACATGTAATTATGAATCACTTTTTTGTTCTTATGAAGCGAATATGACTTGTTATATAGTGAAGGTGATGATTTTCTCATTCTTCTTGACTAGATTTTTGTCTTTGCTTGAGTAGTTAAGAGTTTTTGTTTGAGCTCTGTGTAATATAAGTACTCCCAAGATTCATTAGACCATAGGCATTTGCTTTTCTAGAATATACTATAAATGTGAAACCTAGAACTTAGTCCTCATTTGTCTTTTATGCTATATATAGGACTTTTTGAGTTTATTTTGAAATAGTTTATATATTGTTCAGTCAATAAGTGCTTTATGTATTTTGTTCGTTATACAGAGATATAAGTGGTAATAAATTGGCTCTATTAGTTATGTTGAAAGTGAGAACACTAATAGATAGTGCTTTGTGGCCAGTTTGTTAATTTCTTCATTGTTATAATTAAGTTTGTGTTTTTTCTTCCCCCATGCTAATAGCTACAAGTGTATTCATCAGAGTTTGGAGGACAATAATAATAGATGTCCCAAGTGTAATTATGTTGTGGACAATATTGACCATCTCTATCCTAATTTCTTAGGTGAGTCTTTAAATTATTTTTATTACTCTTTCCACAAAATATATGCTGACAATAGTTTGTTCAGAAATCCCGACTCAGAAGTAAGCAAGTTTTTCTCTGTTACTCACCAGGGTGCTTTCATCTTCTTGGGCTATGGCATAGACTCTATACATGGTTAGTACCATTTCTTGTTATTTTTCAGTTTCATAAAAGCAAAACCCAACATGCACTTTAGAGTTTTGTGCACATATTTGGACAGAATATAAGGTTTCAAGAGGTTGTCAAAGGTCTAGAACACTTTGTGTCTCTGTAAGTAGAATTTATTCTGTGTTACTATGTTTTTCCTGACAGTTTAGCAGTGAGAAGTAACAAAGGAAAGGTTTGACGGGGAGGGAGGACATGTGCTCAGTCAGTGTTGACTGACAGGAGAAGAAAAAAGCTGATGATGGGTATTCCTGGGTATAGAGTGTATGAATTGGAAAGGTTGTCACCCAGTTGGAGGAGGAAAATATAAATAAAGAATTTGATATGGAAATGTAAGAATTGTAGTATAACTTTAATTATAAGTGGTAAAAACTTGGAAGTAATGTAGTCAAGTGCGAACTGTGAATTTAAAAATTAATGGCTTTAGTTGGATGTAGTGGCACGTGTTCATACCCAGCACTGGGAGACTAACCATATCAAACCCTGTGTGGTTCAGGTAGACCTGTCCTAAAATAAGTTAGTACTAATTTTGCACACTAAATTTCTTAACATAAAATTACAGACCCAATTTAACTTCAGTACAAATTAAGGGACTAAGGACTGTTAGAACACAGCAGAAATACTAAGACTAATCTTATATACTAATAATAAACATAAATAATTCATGAGGATGACTAGTTCCAAGTAGAATGTTCTACTTCCCATGAAAAACAGGTAAAATGAATTGTCTGCTGTTCAGGAGCTTCTAGGTTGCTCAGGAGACTAGCTACTTTGTAGATGTTTGTAACTTCAAGCTCACCTTCATCAACAGGGAGTGAGAGGAACTGAAGGGTCAGTTGATTTAATGACCATTGATTTAATCAGTTTCTACAACTTAATGAAAGCCTCTGTAAGAAACAAAACGATGCCCGGTGCAGAGGTGTGCACGTTGCTGAGCATGTGAGGTACTGGATGAGTGGCATGCCTGGAGAGAGCAGGCAACTACACATGTCCTTCCCGCCTACCTCACTAACTTACCCTGTGAAAACCTAGACCAGGTTCTTACTTCCACCCTTTTAGGTATCCCTTGTAGTGAGTCAGAAAATGTAAAGCAAACTAAAGAATATGAAAAAGGGAACTCAAAAAGCATAGATACTCATTAAAGTGGCTGCTAGCTAGTAAAGAAAAGCAAAGACATGGAGAAGCTGTGTGTGTTATGTTTGGAGTGGAATACATACAGTATGGTGTTTTCTGAAAACAATATTTTCTTGATCCAACAGTTTACTATAAGTAGATACCAAGAAAAATTGGAAGCAGAGTTCTGCAGGAGTATTTGTATGTGCACATTCCTACAGTCATTATTCCAGGAGCTGGAGCCATGGAATGCAAAATGGATAAAATACAAAGTAGAATATTACTCAGACTTGAAAAGGAAGAAAATTGACAAAACCAATAACACCCCCAGTACTCTTAGAGCCCCTTTTTTCCTCCCTAGAGTCTTGAAGTATTACCACCATTTTCAGGACTTATTCTTTAGTTTTTTCCCGCTTTCCACCCCACCCCCCAAGTATGTATGTTTCTTTGTTTGTAAAGTTTGTAATTTAACTTTTCTTAGTTTTGTTATGAATCTACCTCCTTTTATAGATTCTACTAAATTAAAATCTATATTTAGACTTGTTTGGTGGTGAAAACCTGTAATCTCCCAGCATTTCAGAGGATGAAGTAGGGGGATTTTAAATTTAGTTCTAAGTTTGGCTGCACAGGGAGACTCTCTCTCTCTCTCTGTTTCTCTCTTTCTCTCTCTCTCCCTCTTTCCCCTTCTCCCTGCTCCTCATTCTCTTCTCTCACTCCCTACCCTCTCCCCTCTTCCCATTTGTTTGTCTGTCTGTCTGTCTGTCTGTCCCATGCATACATTCACTCTTAGGCAATCAGAGCTCCAGACACTATATTATATAATTTATGAATATGGCTTAATTTAATCTTTATGAAGTCTTATGACATACAGTATGATTATACTTATTATTTAAATGATGACACTGAGACACAAACAAGTCGGGTAAAGTAATATAGACTTTACCTTTCTTCTCAGTCATTTTTCTGAGATCTGATTAGAGATATAAAAGACTTGGTTAAAAGTTGCATGCCAAATAGTAATCATATGTAGCTTGTATTTGAAGAGACTTCTACTTTATTCACATTTTAAAGTGAAAAGTAAAAGATATTTTTTAAAGAAATTCTATAAGAAGTAAAATATACATAAGAAAGAAAAATCAGTTCTTTTATTTCACAGCCAAACTGCTGTTTAATTAAAGGCATAATTTAACTTTATGTTGTTGTTATTGTTTTTGTTTTTCAAGACAGGGTTTCTCTGTGTAGCTTTGGTGCCTCCCCTGGAACTCACCCTGTAGACCAGACTGACCTCGAACTCACAAGAGATCCACCTGCCTCTGCCTCCTAAGTACTGGGATTGAAGGCATGGCTTACTGCTGCCTGGCTAAAAAAGTAATTTTTATTCTTTGAAAATTTTATACACTGTATTTTGACTATATTCACCCTTCTCCCAATTCCTTCCAAATCTATCCCCTCTTTCCCTATTAATCTAGTCTGTGTCCTCTTTCTTTTATGCCCATCAAGTCTAGTTTGTGGTGCCCATATAGTTTTAGATGTGTGGCCTTATATTAGTTGACAGTTAAGTGTAATTTTCTGTCCATTCAGCAGAATAATTGTAGGAGGTTCTCTAGAACTTAGGTACCTGTCCAGTCACAGGTTTAGGCCTGACAGTGGTGTCAGGTATGGTTTCATTTTGTGGATTGGTCATTAAATCCAATCAGAAAGTGGATGGTTAATCCCGTAGTGGTTGTTCCATTTTTGTACTGGTGAGATAGATATATCTTGCTTGACAGGCTGTTAATATAGATCAAATGTTTCACAGTGGCATAAGATTGACAGTTGCTTTTCTCCTCCGGTATTGTGCATAACACCTTCTTTGAAGTATAGTTTTTGGAGGGAAAAATAATCAAGTATTTTCAGTATCCACACAAAAGTTCTGAGTCAATGTTTAAAGCTTATTTTGCTTAGTTGCATTATTTCCTTGCTAAAAATGTTTGAGATGCTTTTCTTTTTTTGTACAGTTCAGCTTGTCCTTGTGCTTCTAATTTTACCGTGCGGTACTCCCAAATGCTGCTGTGTTTATAAACCTGTGCCACCATGCCTGTTTTTCCTTTTTCTTATAATATAATCTTTCTATAGTGCTGTATGCTATAATACTTCATACCTATTAATGTATTTTCTTTTTCATTTTAACCTTCGTTTTCTATAACTGTTTTGCAATTTGTAACCTTTAAAAACGATGTAATGTGTTGGTAAGAAAAGAGAGTGGCATGTAAGACTTAAGATACTTAATAGCATACAGTGTTGTAACTATTTAAGTCACAGTTCTTATTTAAATGCTAATAATGTACTGTAACTGAAACATTAAACTTAGCTTATTATTTTTAAAAGATTGGTTTATTATGTGTGTATGAGCTTTTTGTTTGCATATATTCTGTGTACCAAGTATATGCCAAGGAGGTCAGGCAAAGGCTTTGGTGGTCATAAGTTGCTATGCGGTTGCTGGGGACTGAAGGTGGTCCTCTCTAAGTGAAGCAAAGTCTCTTAACTGATTTGCCATCCTCCAGCACCACTCTGGTTTATTGTTACTTGTTCATTCTTCATTGTGTTATTTCAGATTCTCTCTCTCTCTCTCTCTCTCTCTCTCTCTCTCTCTCTCTCTCTCTCTCTCTCTCAGATTGTAATAATTTTATGAGGTGTTTGTTTCCTACTTTTTACAACCAGACTGATGTATTAATATTCAGGTTCTAAATCTTAGCCCTATTAACAAACCTTCACAAAACCACTCTCTGATGTTTCATGAGTAGGTCACAACTTGTAAATACATACTTTTATCTGTTTTTTTTTTAATCTTTATATCTAGAGAGTCTATGCATAGTTTGGCTCCATTCTTATTTGACCTTTAGATGGCCTGTGTACTCTGTAAGTCTACATCAATGATAGTATTAGTTATCCCATTATATTATAACTACTACACCATATGTATCTCTTTTGCTAGTTTGAGTTATTTGAGGCTGTAGATCATTTCATTCAGTTTTGAAGCGTCAAACCCAAGGTGGGTTTGGAATCTATTTTGATTTATTTGTATAGTGGACCATATTCAGCATTTCATCTTGAATATCAACTCTGTCTTGGTCCATTTGTTTCTCAAATAATTTCTACATCGTAATAGAATTTTCTAGCACCATTTATGAGCTCTTTTGGTATTGGTATGTTTGTTTGTAAGAACAAACAAAAAAACAACAAAAAACCCAAATACAAGTAAAAGTCACTTAAACATTGTTTAAATTATATTCATTTATAGAGAATTTCCAGAATTATTTAGCACTTCCTTGATAATATTAATTTTTTTCTTTCATGAGGATCTGCCTTGATCCATTACATAGCTACCCCAGAACTTCAAAATGGCTTTAAGAAGTATCAGATACCATCTCTTTCTGGAGAGAGAGAAAGAATTTTTTTTTTTATTTCATCTGAAAGAGAACACATCTCTCATTGAGTAGGAATGTGTGTGTTTTTGGGCTGTGTGTAGCATCCATATAACCCTGGCTGAGGTAGGAGCATCAGGAACCCTAGTCAAGCTTGGTACATAGTAAGACTTTGTCTGGAAAACCAAAATCAAACTGTGTGACTTTGACTTCGCCTCAATTCCTGGCTAAGAACAAAGTCACTAGTTTGGCTTTGATTAGTCACACGATTGAGAAGAGATTTGGCATCCCCAAAAGTTATATATGGCAGTCTGAGATTAATCTTTTTTTTAAAAAACAGGTACATGAGTGAAACTCCTTAAAAATTTATCTATCTATCTATCTATCTATCTATCTATCTATCTATCTATCTATCTATCTATCTATCTATCTATCTATTTAGTGTTCTGTCTGCATGTATACCGGCAGGTCAGAAGAGGGCACCAGTTTTCATTACAGATGGTTGTGAGTCACCATGTGGTTGCTGGGAATTGAACTCAGGACCTTTGGAAGAGCAGGTAGTACTCTTAACCTCTCAGCCATCTCTCCAGCTCTGGAAGAACAATGAAATGGTTTTGAATAGTTAATTATCAGTCTCTTCCAAGATGTTTAGATTACATCAAAGTGAAATCTTCAGTGCTTGTCTCATAGAATCCATGTGAAAAATAATCTCTTCCAGATACCAGTAGTATTAGTATTGAGAAACATATAAAAGAGGGGTGTATATTATAAAGAATTTCCTGAAGTAATAGAATTAATTATAAAGAATTTCCTGTAACAATTATAGAAAATATTTTCCTAATTAAAAATAGAATAGAAAGCTAACAATTTCTCCTTTATATTTATTTAAATTTGAGACTCTGTAAAGTTAAGATAAAATCTACCTAAACAGAACAAGTAGAAGATAAATATAACAAATATACAAATTTTGTGTGTTTTTTTTTTTATTTTTGTTTTCAGTGAATGAACTCATTCTCAAACAGAAGCAAAGATTTGAGGAAAAGAGGTTCAAATTGGACCACTCAGTGAGTAGCACCGTATGTTTCAGCTCTTATTACTATTACTGTTTTTGTTCATTTTATAGTACTGGTGATTGAGCCCAGGGCTTTGTATATAGTAGACAAGTGCCCTAGAACTAAACAATATTCTTAGCCCCCCTTACTCCTATTTCTACTAAATTCATTTTAATGTTTTTATTTGATAATAGATATTAATACCTAAGAAATAATTGACTTTTCTTAAACAAGTTTATTTAAAAATACTTAAATAAGTAAATAATAACTTGTTTAACTGTATTATCTGTAGTAGTTTACCAGACTGACCATCATTTGAAGGACCTGGTGGTATATCACCTTAGGGTTTATTTGTATCTAGCATGTGACAGGTCATATGTCAAGGTATTTTGAACAAGCTGTGCAGTTTCTTAACTAAAAGGATTAGCCCCAAATTGTTGAGACAGCTGTGATTAAATTAATATTTTACCAAATGCAATGCTGAAAATCCAAGTGATTTGACATGTCAAATTAATATACTTAATTACTTAGAGATATCAACTTAATATTTGTCTTCTGTGTGCCTTTTATACTTGTTAGCTATATATTCATTAAAAGTGGAGTTGGTGTTTAAATTGTGCTCCACGACTTGGGGAGCAGTAAGAATGAGAATGCAGTTTGCTTGTGCTGTAGAAAGTTCTTCTTCAGTGTTTGCTTTAGAATCTAAAACAGTGTTAACTTTCCACGTTCTTTTTAATTTTAGAATGGGCATAGGTGGCAAATATTTCAAGATTTGCTAGGAACTGATCAGGATAACCTTGATTTGGCCAATGTCAACCTCATGTTGGAATTACTAGTGCAGAAGAAGAAACAACTGGAAGCAGTAAGTGGTGCCTAAACTTAGAAGATAGTTTGTTTCAAACGATAATCTATTATGTAATAAAATTGCCTAGAATGTTTTGGAAATAATAGGTTGTTGTCAGTACCATTTTTTTTAAAATAAGACTAAACACATGTAAAAAAGTATTTCTTAAGCCCCTGTTTTTTAAGTTCTGAAGCAGATGAATATAGGGTAATAGATTTTCAAGGTAGACAAAACTGTACACTGAACCAACAGTGATATAAAGATAAGAACTTACACTGTATGTATTGTGAGGCAGAGGTTCTGCGGTTGGGAGTATCAAGTGTCAGGGTTAGTACAGCCATAT